ATAATGAATTGCTTCCATTGATTTAGAAGGCAGCTGGTAGTGAGTGAAAGTGTGAAGATGTTTAATAATAATAGAGCGAGGTTTCTTCTTCCGAGTTTCATATCAGTTGTGGAGATGCCATCTGGACCTAGACGAGTTGATGGTTTTATGGCTGCGATGGCACTTTGCACCTCTCTTAACATCACAGGGATATTGCAGTATAGTTCGGTCGTCCTTTTTCCACCAGTTTTGCTTTCCCTCGTTTTTTGTCAACAGATTGGACGCATAATTATTGCACACACATCACCTTTCTCCTTTGCTTACGCCGTTGCCCCGCACGCTCCCACTTTATCCACTCGCGACATCCGATCTATCGGCTGTTTCGTGACGAATTTAGCTTATCAGGAATATAGATAGCAAATCTCAGTGCTCGGCAACATCAAACACTGTAGTTTCTTGTACGCATTCAACTGATGGATTAACCTGAAAATTCCCTTCAGAACTGCATGCATACCGATAACTTGAGCAGTCATCTACTTCGGTAATCCCGTTGTACAATTTGATCGGAAACCCCATCGGCTTTCCTTGCGCTATAGTTCCATTTGCCGTTTCCTTATTATTTATCATTACTCTTGTTACCCTGCCACGTCCTCTTATTTCGCATTCATCTTTGCTTCATTGTTTGTCACGACTATGTCGATCTCCTAAGGTGATGCATTGAAACCTCTAGTTTACTTAATGCACCCATGCAAGGCTTATTGCCATAGGCTCACCGACAAGTAATAGATTCTTGGCTCAGAAGCTCGATTGGTGGTGTAGGCTACATGGCTTTAGTGTCCATACCAAATACACATAAAAACAGCACCGAAGAGAAGTTAGATAAACTTTGACTTACTTGCTATAAAGTCACACAGGGCACATGGTCCGATTGAGCATTGAGGGACTACTCTGTAAGGAAACAGGTCCCCTAGGACCGGTTCCACTATTGTTCGTAGAACCTTTAGATTTATTCGGATTTATTATGATTAACAAACTCTCAATCTTGTTGAAAGGTTCAACTGATCAATCAACCCCCAAAATCGTTTAGAAAATGTCCTAAAAATCTCGAAGAAAATTCATCCGTTTTGTGCAATCCTGCTGTACAAATTGATCAGACCACTTGATTAGGCTGTTTATTTATTTATTATATCGTTAACAGAAACTGCCCGCGCATGCAGTATCTTTATCATGCAGCGCACTCGTCGTACCCGCCTACATTCATCATAGGTTTGTGTGAAAAACAGCCGTGTGATGCACATCAGAAAGCGTAGGACTTAAAATGCGATGTCACTTTATCCACCGAGATGGCCCGTTATTAGAAGTTCGTCCCTACATCTGCGTCTTCACCCGTCTCATGTCGTCACGCATCCATTAGGTTCGTGGCTAGTAAATTCGGTGGTCATAGCTCAAATCAGGCATCGCCCACCGTGGCAGACCGCCATTTTACGAGTCGATCTCGCACCAACGAAGTGTGATTGTGTTGTTGATATATACATATATGTGGTTGGCGGCATCCGGTTTCGGATTTGCCTGTCACTGTGACCAGCCACATGACGCCTGCGCCTACAGAGAGACCATGGGTGGCTTGCGCTGTACCACCCACAGCTCCATCCACACACCCCATATCCAATGTAAACCAGAAGGAATAAGACCAGGAGACATGGGGATGGGAGCCACGTTTCATCAACGGAGCCGGCCCACCATCCTTCACAAGCATGCTGTATTTGGGAATCAAGCACACATAAGGCGGTGGCTGGACCGTAGTCCGCTCCATACTGAGTGCATGGAACCACTCTTCGAGCCTAGCACGACCACAAGGACCAGCTGTCTCCTGGAGCCAGTATGAACGAGGTAGTGGGTAATATACAGGTGGACACCTTGTCAACATGCGCAACAAGCGCAGCCACACCGGGGATATCAAGCAACAGCCAATCACTTGAAACGACAAGATGAAATAAAATAACTCGAATAATGCATACAGATGCAATGGCATAACTTTTCGCTAAAGTATCAAATGAAGTAAGTTGGTTAGCAACTAATCCGCGATAAGGAAAATATGTCCACAAGTTACTTTAAAAGGCTATAAACGCCACTATGTTACCGATGATAAGCGCAATTAGTGTAAGCAACGTGGCCAGTTAATAGAAGATTATTTAGGTAGGCAGAACAAACCAAATGAAGTGGAATGAAATTTATCCAGCTTAAAAGGACCTAGTTTACGTGTAAGTTGGTTTAACCCAACTGCGGTGAATCAGCAGCAAATATATATATATATATATATATATATATATATATTCACTAGTCTGTAATCAAACAAATGTGCCATCAGAACCATCATGGTACGGAAAGGGGAATATAATTTTCAACAAGGAACGGAAAGACTTTTGAAAATGTTGTTTTCAGTTTCACACACCGTTTTGAGTTTTTTTCTTTTCTTGTTTTGTACAAAATTAAAAAATGCATGATGAAGTGATGGTAGAACATAATTGACGCCACTGGCTGCTATTGCGGGCCATATCCTCCAAAACTTCCAACCATTGGGAATCCGCTTCACCTGGTCCACAGCCTGGAAGACGCACAGCTCCAACTGACGCTAGACACGATGTTAGGATCTTCATACTCCTTTTCCAGGTCATCGGTTGTGCCCCGCGGCTCTTTTTCCATTCGTGTCCTGGAAGTGCAAGTAATGCGGGACGTGGAAGGCGGTGGGCCGGCATGCGCAGTACGTGACCAAGCCAGCTCAAGCTGTGTTGGATACTTATGCTCTGGAGACAAGGACTGTCCGCTCTCATGACTCTGCTTCTAACTTACGCGTTGCTCACGTGGTGCTGCCACCATACGCGAGCAATCGAACGCAAGCAGCGGGTGTCGAAAGTAGACAGTCGTCTCAACTCTTCCGATCGAACAGGCCAGGTCTTGCAACCGTACAGTAGGACAGTATGAACTGTGGCATTGTACACTCGGCCGTTCCGTAGCACACAGTTCCACAGTGACGACCTATCTACTGAATCAATACTTGCTCGAAAATCCAACAACACCAACATTGTTGGTCTTCGGCCGACATGATGATGTTTGAGAAGTTGACGTAACATGAAAATTTGATCAATGCAACCACGGCCAGAACGAAAGCCAGCCTGTTCCTAACGACACCACTCTCCTGGGTAACTGAGAGCCTGCGCAGCAGAATGAACACAAAAAGCTTGGACGCGACAGAGATAAGTGAGGTTCCTCGGTAGTTGGTGTATTCACTTCGAGAGCCCTTCTTGTGGATCGGAACCACAACAGATTCTCCCCATGAGTTATAAACCTATTCATCGCTCCATACTTTTGTGAACAGTGATAGAATTTCGATGAGAACTATGTTCCTCCTAGCTTCGAATAAGGCTGGAGGAAGGCTGTCATGACCATGAGCATTGTGGCATTTCAGAGTCTGGATTTCCCTCCGTATTTCTGCTTTAGTGGGTGGATCTATGGACTGACCAAGGATCACATGATGGCAGTGGATGTCTAACCGGTTGTGCTGGGCACTTAAACTAGAGAGCAAAGTGCTCTGCTTAGCGATCCAGACGTCTTCGTAGATTGATGCTCCTTGCACCGTCTGATTGACTGATGACCTGAACTTTGCTTACGGTGGATCTGATAAAACAACCTGCGGCTATTACTGGCAGAGGCCGCAACTTCCATTTTCTTGGTCTGTTTCGACCACCAGGATTCACGGTCACGGCGAAGACTAGCTTTCCGTTGTCTGGAAATAGAACGGCGGAGCTCAGCGTGCTCCACACTGACCGGTATAGCTCGCCGGTAATCGAGAAGTTCCACGGATATGGCCGAGATCCAACTTTTAATTGTACAACGAATAAGACTGCAACTGGATCAACTCTCTGAAAACATATTCTGTTGCAATCGCGACCAGTGCTGATCAACTTCCCAAGGAGGCCTATAAGTGGGGTTCACACGAAGCTGCTTTTTGATATTCCAATTGCACGGCGGGGTTTTCCAGTTTGCCAGATTTAAGTCGAGGTTGTCTAGTCCTCGGCGAACCACCGAAACGCATGCAAACTGACGCACGTACTAGCGCATGTTGACCAATAGGATCTGCAGTCCCGAATACTGCCACGCCAGCGATGACTTATGGCGGCGTGGTCAATCTGTGACCATTGTTGTGGGGATGATGGAGCGTGCCAGGTAACAGAATGATGCCTAGTCTAGCGAAAGTTTGTGCTGCGGAGGTATAGTTGGTGGACGGCACACAAATTGAGCAGTCTTTCTCCATTGCCTGAGCGAAAGTCGTCGTATCCATGCGGGCCTCCAAGATGGCGTTCGCTTGGTAACAAACGACCAACACGCGAGTTGAAATCCCCCACCATAATAATGATGTCCGTTTTGGGAGCCCTTAAGAGCAAATCATGTTCTGATAGCATTGACTTGACGGTGTCCGGGCTTCAGTCACTGGGACCATTAGCGGATTACAAAAAGAGCACGTGAACAGCACACACGCGCTCAAACGGACCTCGACTGATGATGATGAGGGATGCGACGTGGTTTGGCCAGTTATGGGAACGGAGCCGACACAGTACGAGTGCGAGGGAAGCGAGTCAAGTGCCTGTGAGTTTGGCAGAGAATCGCGCGAGCCAAACAGCTGACGTAGATGTGACGCGGTCTAGCTTGAACTAGTCTCGACTTAGCATCAGACTAGTTGGGGTTAGGTTGAATCGATTGTAGCAAACGAACAATGGTTGTGGGCTGATAAACTGAAGCCAATGGTATATGACGAAACATGAGACTAGCGTCGAAAAACCACTAAAAATATCAATTTAACCGTTACTTAAAAGTTAGCTTGTGATTTATGGACAACGGTTCTGACTTGCCGCTGACCATATTTCATCGCTACCTTGGTAAAACCAAAAGTATCACCTTATGCTGATCGATTTGATTCGCAACCTTTTATTTCGACTTCATCGAACTTTTTTGTTACCTTGCAGACGGATCCGAAGGCGTTTCTCAAAGAGACTGCTTCCTTTTGCCAAAAGCTGGAAAAGTACTTGGCAGTCAAGCAGAAGGAAAATATGACAGAGGTACGCCAGATTATTTCACTGTGTGCGCGATGTGTTGTCTAGCTGGTCACTTGTATTTTGTTTGTTTTTTTTGTCCAATCAACATGGATTCACCACGCGTTTTGGCCTTTACCTCAGATAGTCAGAATTACTTTCAATTTATCACCCCATTTTTCTCCTTATCTCCTAATGACCATTGGGCACTAATTGATAGCTTTGTTTACTAATCAGCAGCTTCTACTCTGTATCATTGGGTTTTTGATTTTCATCTCTTAGCCAACAGTTCGCTTTTGTTAGCTAACTCAGTTTTGATCCGACTAGTCTACTTTATCCTACTTTATTCTGGGGATTTCCAGCAACATTCGCGCCTAACCGGACCAATCTTGAACCGTCCATCCACCCCACGCTATTCTTGAAACGAGCGCTAGTGGAATCCTTTTTTGTTTTTGCATCTCTTTTCCGCTTTATCAGGACTGGCTGAGGCTCCATCAGAGTTGTCTTTAAGTTTCGCGACCAGGTGTTTGCTCAAGGATTGTCCTACATTCCCTTCCCTGTTCCACGTTCTGCTCCAGTTGGTTCCGATTTGTCTCTGTTTTCCTTAGCCATCTCTAGATGGGGAGTTCTGCGGGGTGATCAAGTGATCGATTCTGACTGGGTGGATAATATGGGTATGTTCGGGTATACTCAACCTCTGAATAGCCACTATTTAGATAGACTACTGCTTTTCTTTACACGCCTCGACATGCCCTTCGCACTTCCAAAATACCAAGCATTTTTGCACCACTGACGTCACGTCGCCAGTTCTGTTTGTCTCCGAACTGCCACTCAAGTGGTCGATCGGCTCACTTATTGTTGTAATTTTGTCGCCTCTGGTAGTCACACTCTGATTAGTTTACTTCACTTGTGTTAGCATGGCTGGCATGGCGCTCCAAACCCCCTAGATCATCTATCTCGGCTTCTTTGTTACGTGGAGGGTTCATTAACATCTGTTCAGATCGGTCTGATTTGCATACATCAGAAACTTGGCTACTGTGCGCTGAATACGTTGGGAGGTTGATCGTGTTTACCCGCCGGCGTTTCTCTGGTACCATTATTATTGTCTACTGAGAGTGTGAAGTGTTGTCTAGGAACTGCTTATACTAGCTTGCGTAGATCTTTCGCGTACCTATTTCCCCTTCATTCCGATTGTGTCTGTGTTGTCTGTCATCGCTACATCTAAATGTCTAGGAAAATGACAACAACAATTGGCGAACAGATTTTGGTCCAACTGTGATACTTGCCATTTTCGTGGATGGGCATATATGGATTTGCTACATTTGTACTTGGTGATTTTATCCGGTATGGTTAAGCGGCGGTCTCTTACACTATTGCTACCTCAGTCGTCTGGTTAACCTTTACTTTCCTTTTTATCCCTCTTTCTTTCTATTCTGGCTTACTTTTGCTTCCATCTCGCAATCGTTCTCAATTGTTTTTGTCACTATGCTACGTGCCATGGGAACCGGATCCGTCGCACAGCCGTGTGTTCAGACCATAGTTCTTCTTACCGAACTCACCAAATATATTCTGCGCGTTTACCCTGTGATCCAAAGGTCACGGGAACAAGTCTGTGTAAGTGCGGTAACCTTGTAGTATACCTGATGCACGTGGTAGCAGAGCGTCGGTGCGGCGCACGCAGGGACGCTGGATGCCTTTTTTTCTTTCCTCGACAAATACATTGGCCGGGTGCTCGAATTGGTGGACTCCCCTTAGCTCTCCTTCTGGCCTATTCCCCCGGTGTAGCATGCTGTTCACTCGTTCCAATTATCCAAACCATTGTGACTCACTAGATTTTTTGCTCAACCAAGTGACAACACTTATCACCCACTACGCATCCGCGAACTGTGCTTTTCGAATGAAGACAACCACTCCGGATTCCTCAGTTGCCGGGAATCTCTCATCTTCCCGTTGCATTTTTTCACTCTCAGTTCTACGCTATGCTAAAGCCATCTTCATTGCCTGTTGTTAGTGTCCTTTTGTCTGTTACTTTTTTCGGAATTTTTTTACGTTTCCATCCCAACCAGCGTTAATGTTAAATTCGGACTTTTGAATACAAAATCTGGTAGATACATCTATTTTGTATTGTCTCCACAGTATTATTAACTATTTACCGGTGTGTATAGAAATAGCTAGCAGTTGGTGTAGAGGACATTCGGACGTCGCGATCTCAATTCCCCTCCAAACATTACGATTATACTTCCCTATTTCCTCGTGAAACCCCACCTCCGCCTGGTTCCGCCCTACGTTCCCTAAACTTGTTCTCATCTCACATTCCCGCGATCCTAACTTGCCCCCACACATCTGTCTAACTTTGCTTACGATCGTCAACACTGCACTGCACCGATTAGGGTCGTTTGGTGACCTTCATCCTTCACCGACTATATCTGTCCGTTGAACCTTTGTCCCCACTGGACGAGCCTGTCTGACTATTTCCTCCTTTAATTGTGGATGTTTGTGAGTAGTGTAAAGTTTGTAGAAAGTTGAAGTCACGATTACAATTCACGCACAGTAATGTGCCTCGACGGGGAATCGAACCCCGGTTCACGAATTTCCGGTCCGCTGCTCTACCACTGACGATTAGGTGCGCAAATTTTACTACATGACTTCTGCTTGGTGCGCGACGTATTGCCAATGAGCTCACAGTACCTGTTCTGGTGTTGCAGATTGACTCACTCACCCGTCACTTCCCAATGGACCGAAGTACCTGTCCTTCGGATGTCCAACGGGCGATGATAGATTAATTTTGGATTTTTGTGAGTAGTGTAAAGTTTGTAGAAAGTAGAAGTCACGATTAAAATTCACGCACAATAATGTGTATTAAAATTTGCGCACCTGATCGTCAGCCCTCGGTAGCTCAGTGGTAGAGCAGCGGACCGGCAATTCGTGGACCGGGGTTCGATTCCCCGTCGAGGCACATTATTGTGCGTGAATTTTAATCGTGACTTCTACCTCCTACAAACTTACACTACTCACAAACTTGCCGAACAACCTCCTCGTGGTGCCAGCTGGGTGGTTCGGGATTTTCCCGTTCCAGCAAATGGTTCGGCGGCAGTGTTCCAGGACGTGGTGGGTTTTCGCCTGGCAAGCGTTCTCCCTATAAAAAGCCACATATGTCCGTTTAACAACACTGTGGCGTGGCGGACGTGACTCGCCACTAAATAAAGTCACTGCCCCTTGCTTCATCCTGGCGAAGCATTGTATTCCAGCAAGTTTATGCTGTACTTCTGGGGAGCATTGGGCCCCTGTTTGACAAAGGAACAAACGAAAGGCGTATGAACTGAGCAATCAGTCACCGGCTCCCAATGGGCGCGATTCCCTGAATTCGCTCCGCTGCCTTGCGGACAGGCTATTCTGCCAAAGGCTCGGGGTGGTGTCCCCTAAGTCAACACCCTACTTCGGCTTGGGCAACCGGGTAGTATCTCGCCCTCTGAGGAAACCATGGACATTGTTGTGTTGTGTTTTATTTTGCTGTTTCTGTACCTTTGTTTGAATCCCATTGTTTCTGATGGCATTATGTCTGTTAACAGACTTTTGCAAATATATACTCACAAACATCCACAATTAATCTACCATCGCCCATTGGACATCCGAAGGACAGGTACTTCGGTCCATTGGAAAGTGACGGGTGAGTGAGCCAATCTGCAACACCAGGACAGGTACTGTGAGCGCATTGGCAATACGTCGCGCAGCAAGCAGAAGTCATGTATTAATATTTCCTCCTTTGTCTATATG